AACCGTAAATATTTCACAGTAAAAGGGATTATTATGACCTATGGATTTGAAGACACAAACATATACGTTTATTGTTTTAAATATGGGATAGCAGATGGAGGGCCAAAAAGGTGATGTTGTTCCACATATGTGTAATAACCATACATTATTCCTTGTATTATTTTTAGTCATTTATGAGCTATACAGTTAATATCAGAAGAAAACAATTGTTGAAAGCCCAAAGCCCATATTTTAAGCTATGAGTCAATGTATTTACAGTATTAATATAGCTCCTTACTTGTGACTAACGCTCATATCACGGATACGAGTCACCATTTGGATTAAGAGAAAAAAACTGGGCCGACTTATGACATCAGGATGAGGTCACTGAGACATGAGATCATCAAATGAAAGATCTTGAGAATTTTGAGCGAAAATATACCAAACAACAAGCTTCAACTGAGAGGAATATGAATTTGTCAGTGCGAGGGATGTGACACTACTCCTCAGTCAACTCCTTAATCTTGTACCAATATTGACCTCCACCTTGAAGTCTCCAAAAATGGAAAAATACCAAACCGCCTCTACCCTGCTCTAAGCACCATAATGCATAGAGCTGCGTGAGTGAGGAGCAGACTAATATAATGCCCCCTGCAGCTCTCACTCCACAATATGAAGCCTGCATAATGCAAGAATGGGCAATATTTAATAGGACGACACGTTTAGAGGGAAATTGAGAATCTGGGGAGAGATGCTTCATTGTGAGAGCGCAAATTTATTATCGTTTGTTTTATGTGCGTCATGGGTTGATTTCTGAGTGTTATTTCAATTGTATAATACAATAAAATTATAAATATTTAATACATATGTTGGTAAATGAATTCAATACATTTCTCCCTGTGCCCCTTTCAACTTTTTTCTACTTTTTTCAGTCATCTTCTAAATTATAGCATACTTCCATTTGGGGCAATAGGGCTTGTTTAGCAAATATTTGGCTCCTATTCTTTTATTTGTTCAATATCAGGCTGTATACGATCATTTTTGTCTAGTCTATACACAGTTGATTTTGCTACTTATAATCAGATTATTGCAAACAAATATTGTTTATGGCTCTTTTGTAATAAAAATGTCTGGCTAATAACACAATGAATGTTATCTTTGTCATGTGGATTATTAAATGGGTCAAAAGGTCGAGTAGTAAATTATACCACAGGCTTTGTATGGGTTACTTATTGAATTTTCACGTGAAGCCAATAATTTCCCCAATTCTCGCGGTAACGACGCTCAAACCTCGCGCAAGTGTCATTAACTACATTTTGATGAGGGGAATTTCTCCGGAGATAATTAAAATTATTTCCAGCACGGCGCAGAAATCAATGCAGATGGTAATGTGCGGCTTATCCAGGTATGCTGGGTCCAGATAAGACTGATTCAATCCCGCTACGCATTAATGACTGAGATGTAAAATAATCCTAAAAGGCATGGCACCGCGAGGCTCCAACCACAAACCAAAATGTCAAGTGGCATTTTATTTTATAATAGATCCCCCTTTTCCTGTTTTAAGGGACACGCTTCTTTCTTATCCAAACGGAGCCTTAAGTCAGAGTGTAACGTATCACAGCTCGACACAAAGCGCCAAAGTCTCCTGTTCAGACGCGAGGTGCACGCAGGGATTTAAGATGAGGGAATATTGTCCGCGCGTCGGGTTGAGCCTCCCAATCCCCCCCTTTATTATCTTACATTTCTATTTCGTCTTTATCTAAAATTCAGCAAAAAATACATCTGAAATTCTAATTAATTTAACGAACAATTTCAATTTGATGTAAAAATGCATGGTGCTGCTGCATATATTGCCTACTTAAAACGCAATTATTGAAGCATTACATTTTGCATTTCCAAACGTTACCGTTGGGCCTATAGAATTAGTTTTGCCTCGTGCATTGGTCTAAGCAGCGGTTGCCCAGTGTAATGCTCAAATTGCAAACTGCAAATGAGACTCCAATATCACAGCCGTAATTAATTGCACAAATTTGTTTCTATTAAATAAAACTAACACATACTGAGAAAACTCTATTAGCCTTAATTAAGCTTGATATCCTAATTTAGGAAATGTGTGGTTGAAAACAAGGCATTTTGGTAGATTTTCCCCCTGTCTTTCTCCGATAGTGCAAAGCCATACCAGCTCCCTGCCTTTGGGCTGCTTTTCCTCCTCTGAGACTTGGAAATGAGAAATGGAAATGGAAATACCAGGAGGTGCTAAATTAGCTGCCTGATCTGCACTTATTGCCGCATACAGGCCCCTATTACTTTGCCAATCTGTGCCTCTCTTTTAGCATTCCGGGCATGGAGGCGCTTCCAGATAGCAGATTTATCAAATGGGAAAATGAATGCATGATGATCAGTTAAATTGAAAATCAGCGTCTGCATGACAGCCCGACCTGACACCTCCGTAATTAGAAAGAAAAATGATGGCGTCCGATGCATAATAGAGCAAAAACAATTTACACTCTCCCATAATGATCCGCCGTTCAAATTGAAAATTTCTCCGGGTATAAATTGAATTCATAAAGTATGATTCATGGACGACACATCTCCTGGAGGCTGCCTGGGCATATCGATTGATAGTTTGTCTTGAATCATGCAGCGTGCAGCTCTCAGGCAAGAAAAGCTTAACTACTTAAGCAAATCGCTAATTTCACCTTAAGGCCACCAATGTGCAGCCAGCGATACTCCTATTCAGTCTGCTAATGAATTATGGATGAACTGGGCATACGTCCCAAATAGCCTCAGAGTAGCATGAAAAATACACAGCCATGAATCTTAGGGGTTTTTCCAAACGGCCCAATGTGATATCCACAATTTGTAGACTTTAAAAATGAGAAACATCAAATCCCTTTAGTGGGAAAGAGCTAAGTCATGGGCCTTTCCAATGTCTCCTTATTAAAACAATTGAATCTGGATGACAATTATCCATGGCTCCCATTAGATAAGCAATGGCTGCACACATTTACTAAATCAACAAAGCCCATGTACCCCCATCACGTTTTCCAAATACAATTATAATATGTTGATTGCCTCCTAAAATAGCATTTGTCATTTGAATGATCTCATATTATTTTACAGTTAAATAGACCATGAATCAGTCCAGCTTCAGTTTTTCTTACATGTCAAAAAAGTAAACACTGCAAGAAGCAGATGATTATATGGTCTTTTTTAAATGAGTAATTATCCAGTGCATATTTTGATTATATGAGCAGCCATATTTTGAACTGCATAAACAAAAGAACTCACAGTAGCATGATCTGTGGGTAATATATTGCGAGCAGAGCCAGGCCTGAGTGGACATCTCTAACAGACCATCCCAGGCCCATAATCTGTGCATGTGCATTATGTCAGGGCTCGTGGGCTTGCCCCTGCCCCCACCAAACCTAATAAGACATTGCTTCCTAGAGCAAACAGCTGCATGGCTTGAAATTTATGTAAATATTTTGAAAGGGACACTGGCTCAGAAATTCATTTGTGTCGGCTCAGACGTAAAGCTCACCCGTCTCTGATTATTTTCAATTTATTTGCAAATCAAGACCCCGGCTAGATGAACACTAAAGGGACTGGATTTTCAACACGGTTTTTTTTTTGTCTTTTTTTAGGGTGTGACATTTCCTCTTGCACATTGGGTGATATTGTGGTCAACGCTGCTAATATTGCAAAAGGGAGCAGATGTCCCAGATCCTGCGTGGTGTCCCGTGGGACCACCAACCCTATTAGAACAAATGTGTTCTGCTATTGTAAATAGGCACGTTTGCCAGCCCGTCCTATTACAGCCGACGCATGATCAATAGGCTGATAACACCCAAACATCAATGTAAAGCGACAGAACAATGAGGGATATCATCGAACATCTATCTTAATATAGCCCTGCTACAAGGGGCCCTGACAAAGTGAGAGAGAGAGGAGAGACACAACCTCATGAAAATGCCTCCCCACGATCCCCCATCTCCCATCCAATATGCACAAACACACACTGCAGCTGCCGGGGCTATTATTTTCCTATTTCAATTTGACACCCAGGCCTTTTCATGCTAATTCTATTATTCTTGGAAGTTTATGTGATTTCATATCACTAGAAATCGGTAATGTATTATAACCCCCTTTGAGCTAAAATAAACTGAATCCCCCTTGCAGTAGCCACCGGGAAAATAATTACTTTCATATCAAAACTCTGCAGGAGTCGAGCGGGTCCTTTTCGCCTCAGGCTCGTAACCTCATTTCAGAAGGGGCTTATAGATGAATAAATTTGTTAAGGCAATATACAAAGTACAACATGAGATTTTTTAAGAAAGCCTTTCCTACTGTACCATGGACCTATGCAGCAGTAATGGTCTAGTTAAGGTCCAACACGAGCAGGTGCTTGTATACAATAGATTTATTTAAGAAAAACCTTACATATATAAATAGTATAATACCTTTTTACAGCTCTTGAGGGTTTTTGTTGGTCTGTTCACATGTTTGACAAGACACTAAAAGGAGAGTGTGGACTTTGGAGCAGAGGTTGTATGGGGTAATTAGTGGACAGTCAATTACCACTAATGATAAACACAAAGAAGCCAAAACAAAACAGACTACACACACATCTGGCCATTTAAAATATGTCAAGCAATTTTGTTCAAGATTAAATTTGGTTTACAGCAAGTGCTCCTACTTTTGGGGCCAAATGATTATTGAAACACACAGATTGCAGTTACAGTATGAACATAATAATTTGTAAAACAAATGGTCTCACACAGCTCCAGAAGGGTTTTGGTTAGAGATGGCCTTGTCGTTATATCTGTACCTTCATATGAACAAAGTGGTAATAAACTTGGCCTATCCAACCCACAGGTACCCCATACAACCCTGCATGACCACAATCCACCACTTAAAGGTATATCTAGACTCCTGGCGCACACACATTGTCAAAAATATCAGCAAGGAAGCTTTGGCCTAATGAGAAATATCAGCGCTTTCTCTTTACCCCCAGGATCTTACTCCGTGTCTTTAGTGCTGTCTGCGGGGCTGTCACGTGGTACAGACGCACGGTTCTCGTCCTTGTTTTCTAAATGCTCTAAAAGCTCTTTTCTGTCCACGTCGGCAGCTACAGCGGGGCTCGAGCTCGTGTTGTGTTCGTACGAGGCGTCAGGGGTATGAGTCTGGAAGGCGGACGCGTGTGGGCTGCTGCCTGCTGACTGGTGCTCCTCCGCGGTGAGAGAGGAGTCCGCCCTAGATCCACCGGGCTGCCCCTCCGCATGCCCTGGCGAACAGTTACTTTTCAAAGCAGTTTGGGGAACAATGAATCCTAGTGGCTGAGTAATGGGATAGAGAAGGAAGTGTCCTTTTCCTATCAAAGGCCGCGAGGGGGGTAAGGCCGCGGGGGTGCGTCTGGGTCTGGAGTCCGAGAGAAGGCTCTCCACGCTGAACGGGTTGAGTTTGGTGACGCTGCCGCTGTTCAGGGCGCTGCTGTCGGGCCCCATGTCTCTCTCCGGGTGTCTTTGGTTTGGGAGTGGCTCACAGCTCGAGTGGTGGCTGTTGTTGTCAAAGGACAGGCTCATGTTGTGTTCAGAGTCGGTCACGTGGGACACGCCGCTGTCACTGTCCGAGCCGCCGGGCGTGTGGAACATGTCCCCGGAGCCGGACGCCCTGTTCTGGGCCTTGAGTAGCCGCCGCTCCTGCTTACGCTTCTTCTTCTCCATGCGGTCCAGCTCTCGCCGCGCGATCTCCTCCGGGTCCATGGGCTCCCCGCTGCACGTGGTGGGGTGTGCGTTGTGGGCTGGTCGACCTGGGCCCTTCTTCGTGTTCTCCTTTTTCCGCCACTTGGCTCTGCGATTCTGGAACCAAACCTGCCAAGAAAAAGAAAGTTACTTAAGAATGTGTGTGTGTTTTAAAAAATATATAAACATTATTTGGCTATAAACAAACACACACAGAGTCCACTGTTATTTTCTTGAATATGATCAATGCAAATATTGCAGTATGAATAGATAAAATGGGAGAACCTTTGCCAAAACAATTGCACAATTGCAACTATACATGAAATACCTCATAATTAACATTATCATTTAAATTAATACGTGTTGAAAACAATGTATATTGGTTGGCAAAGCAGGCTAGATAAAAACAAAACAAAACTGAAAATAAATATTATAATTGATAGATATTGATAGTAAAATACTTATATAAGCCTATCATTTGCCTTTATGATACTATTATATGTATTTATAATTCGTTTTCTATTTAAAACATAATAATTTCATCAAGCTTGCTAGCATGATATTGGGATGACAGTAAATCAATATAATGATAAACTACAATTACGCACCTAAAAAAATAATGCTGGTGAACACACAAAAAATAAGTTGCAATTATCTGCAAAAAACTGTCAAACAAAACTAATAAAAACACAGCCAAATAGATACACACACAACATGATGTACTTGTATATTTACCTGCACCCTGGACTCGATGAGGTCCAAACGCAGCGCCAGAGCTTCCCTCATGAACACGTCCGGATAGTGGCTCTCGTTAAACGCCTTTTCTAACTCCTCCAGCTGCCAACCGGTGAAATTTGTGCGCGTTCTCCGTCTCTTGCATCCGGGGCTATCTTTGTCTGGGTCCCCCGAGTCTGAGCACAGCAACCAACAGTGTCAACAATGGAACAAAACAGAAAATTATATACGGCAATTGTCCAGCGCTTGGGCAGACCTGCACGTACAGCTTTTGAAAGTTTTAGTATTATTATTACGAATACATTTTACGCACAGCCACCCAGCACCGCTACAAATGATAACAAAGCTGTCGTATACACTGCATACAAATAGGACTCTCTCTATGCATAATGGATCTCTTGTTATGGTCTGACTTACACAAACAATGAAGATGATATCCCTAAAGCTGGCTGTGCGCGCGTCTTTAAACAACACAATGAGGATAAGTTGCAATAACGTGGCTTTGTTTCTTAGCGTCGCGGCAGCCAAGGTTATTGTGCCGCGCGTACTGTAATGTTGTGCATAGTAGTATTGGCAGTGTCTTACCTGTCAGTTTGTACTGCTGATTATCTCCATTCATCCCACAGCCCGAAGACAAGAGGGGGTTGGAATTTCCCACAGATGCCGTGCACGATCCATTGAGTAATCCGTCTATTGAGAAGGGGACCGCGGACGCAGATTGAAGTTGATGCCCGGCTAATTCGTAAACGTGGTGGTGGCTCAGATGGTACGGGAAGCCCACCATCCCGAACTGGGCGTGCGGTGGATCCAGTATCCTGCTGTCCATCATCCCGCGGGTTAAAAAAGGGAAAGAAGAAATGGGGAAACCGCGACGGTGCGAATGGGGGGAGAAAAAGGGCCGGACCAGTTTACGGCGCGGCGCGTTAAAGAGCACGCAGCGGCCAACGAGCGGAGGACATGATGCGAGCGGGAGGGATGAGCTCCACTTTATCCACATGAACCTCCCAATAATTAGCGGTCCAAGGCTGTGGGAATACGCGACCCAATGAGAAGCGGTAATGGGGTGCTGACGTCAGAGGCGCGTCTCCTCTCTGCGCGCTCGCTTGCAAACGCTCCCCCGTATCGATTGCTAATTAAAGCTGACATCCACCTCAATAAACAATATCAGAGCTGTCACAACAAGACAGGAGGGCTTTGATAAGAACTACATCGCGGACTACACGGGGGAGCGCAGAGCCAGAGGAAGCGGAGGGGATGGGAGGCAGGAAGGAAGCGAGAGCAAAAGCATCGTGTAATAGCGGAGGAAATGCAGCAGCAGGACAGGTTTTGTTCACAGAGCAGCAAATACAGGTTATCATTATTATTATTTTTATTATGATAGGGAGCGCGCGCACATTGATTACAGTAATGTTGTATTAAAGGAAATGGTTATGAAGGCGTTGTGTTTCATGCGTTTTAACATATTTAAATGACCTGCACTTTTACGCGCACTGTTGTTTTTAAAATCATAATATTGACAAAAATATGTATTATTATGTATTTTTTCCCCACACCAGGTTCAAATATGACAAACATAAAGCCCCATGAAGAGCACTTTGACCTCAATAAACCTCAGGATGACATAACGTAAGGTTAGGGTTTAGCAGTGTCAGAGAAAGGTTGTGCAAACATTGTACTATAAAGTAGTTTGATAAATGGTATTAATATATTCATTAAAATAAACAAACACATAAATAGCACATTTAGGCTAAATAAATGCATAGGTTATTGAAAATATTACTCACAAGTTTTATTTATTTATTATTGTTTTAATGCACACGTGAGGATGGTTGTCAAATTGTAATTTAACTATAAACACACCACTATAAGAATACATTCACTAAATAGGATAATAGGATAAATATAAAAAAAATACCAAATTCAACTATAATTTGAGGTGTATAGATGATTCAGATTGAGATTCATTTTATTTGCCCTTTACAGTAAAACCACATTGGAATACATGTGCAAAAGGTACCCAGTGTTCAACAGAAAAGTACATGAATAAAACAAACAAACAAAAAAGTACAGGAATAAAGAAGCAAAAAGTAGAGATGACCAATTCCTGAAATTAAACTGCAGGCCAATTAAAAACAATGCAGAAATTCTCATATCAAAAATAATCTTCCTCATGGAGTAAAGTTACGTGTTTCTAAATTATTGCACTAACAACTAACAGCTAGGTTATCAATAGGTTGTACATTATTTTTCAACTCAAGGCATACTAATGAATGATAATACATCAAAATTCTGAGTTAAACTGCTGTTTTGAGTAGTTCCTCATGGCGTGTGGATGTGGGGGGTAACGAGCCATCAGTTGACATACCAGCTGCAACTAAAGAAAACACACTGAGGTTAACTTTTCACTTCCCTGTAAATCTCCAATTTCATTAAGAAACTAAATTAAAAGCAGCTTAACACCGGAAAAGTCTAACGTGTATGAACTAGACCCAGGTCAAGTAAAGGTCGGTTTTGTGAAGTGTTAAAAGACAATGGGACACGAGCGTGAAATGGACACGTTCCTACTTGTAAAAAATTAACATAAAAATCTCCTCCACAATATATGAGCCGCTTCAGTGGTAGATCTCCTCATTAGCTTTTCTCAAATAATTAATTCGGCTTTATTTATCCCAAGTCTGGCGCTGTCACAATGTTAATCAGAGTTGAAATTTTGCACCCCACTCATTGCCTGACCCTTGGCACCCAGGATTGGCATGTTGTAATAACCTGAATCTCTCAACAGAAGCTGCGATAATTGTTACCCTATTAGCATGCAAATTGTTTAATTAATATTATTAAGAGGAAGTATATAATCCGCTCGTCACTTGACCCCCAAGCCCAAATAACAACCCCGTGTATATGCCACTGCGCACGGGCCTTCCATTTTAATGAACTTTTACGCGCCACGACGAGCAGTGCTTCTTATGAATAATTCCTCGCTTTATTTTTGGACATCTAAAAATTCAATAATTGCTTTTTGTCACTTCTGACTACACACTCACATAGGAGGGAGGGAGTTTTTTTTTTTTTGCATGTATAGGTTTTGGTCCCTCGACTCAATGGAAAGCACAACCCTCTTCTTCCTGACACAGTCTCCAGAGACGCTGCATTTAAATCCGTTTTTCTACAACCGGGTGACACTGTCAGATTGGAGCTTTAATTAACCCGATAATAAGGCGGACAAGGCCAGCGTTCAGTCGCTCTGCTGCCCCTGCCTCCTTACCTATTTTACAACACTTTGGCGTGTCTTAAAAAAAACCCATAGAGATCACAGAAATGGTTTGGCTGCGGTCGCCCGTGATGTTGGATCCGTGCGTGCGTCAGAGCGCGCGCGGACAGCTCATCTTTATTGCGTTTATATTGTTGATCCAAGTCAATACGAGCACACGAGGCCTATAGACTAATTGATTACGCAGAGATGAGGTCCAAAGAGTGGAGCAAGCACTGACAGGGGCTATCCGCGCAGCAGGGGGGCTCATCTGTCTTTTTCATTAACCTCCCATTTTATAAGCAGCCAGCATGCTTCAAAACACCGCTCCAAGTCTCCACACATTACCTCAAATTGTTCTTATAGAATATGTTCTCAGGTGATCATTTTCTCAACCTACAAGCGTGTAAAGATGAGAGACACACAAGTAACAGCCTATTGATTTTCTGTTCAATTATTCAGTGCAGAATATTCCAATCAATGGAGATTAAAGACATAAATTATGAAGGCTAATAATGTTATACTTAATGTTGACATGTGCGCTGCTTTACCGTCCTCTTTGAGAAATATCTTTGTGAATTATTGTAGCATTGTTTTATGGCTTGTCAAACTTGCTTTTTTCCCCCTCCAATACCTTTTTTACAACCTCTTGAACTCACAGCGGACTCATCTTGTCGCTTCCTGGTCAGTAAAATTCCAAATGTCAGGGCAAGAAGTGATGACCTCCCACTATAAAAAGTACATCTTCGCTCGAGTAATGATTTCTCCTTGTGACCACAGATTAATATTGTTTAGCAGCAGAGGATAAGACGTTGTTCCCAGTCGTGTAAGATAGTAAAAAATGATAGAAATGCAGTTGAAAAGAATGTACAGGACAAAGAGTAAGATGCAATATATGGTTATATGAATCAGCTTGGGAGTTTGGTTCCTTGTTATTTGACATACACAGTATCAAATCACTTTGGAAACAATTTGAGTGAAGCTTAAAGTTATTGACCAATCGCAGTTGTAATGTGTTTTTTTATGGCAAATCCACAATCTTGCAAAATTCTCTGAAACAACTGGGAATCTGGGCTCTATATGAACTTACATTGAATCAACAACAAACTCCCATGCAGCTTTAAAACACATATTAGTCAACTGTTGCTTAAGTTTTTGGACCATAAATATAGGTGTACCTAACTTTTTTTTGGTTTAAATATGTTGTAAAACTGATGTGAACAGACTAAAATCCCACTGCTGTTTTCATCTTACTAAGCATGTTAAATATTGCAGCAAAAAATAGAGCCCTGTCAGTCACTTTTTGACACTTCGGGTTGAGAGCTGATTGACTGAGTGGCATCAGCTCTCTTTTTAAACTTTTTTGTTTAAAAAAGCTGAAAAAGCAAAACGACTGATAGAAGCCAGCTGTGTTAAGAGCTGTAGAAACTAGTTAGATGGGTTGCTAATTGTTTGTGGTTTAAATATTAGGCTTTGTTTGCCCTTTGACAATTGAAAAGTTGAGCGAGTCGTACAAAGTGTCTTGACTTTGTAGACTTGAGTGAAAGTTTATTCATGTATAAGTTTAAAAATCAGCCACAGTCGTCACATGTGATCGGCTCCTACATCAGCAAACAGTCCTTTCCTAAGTGCGTTTCATTAATGCTTTCTTCCCAGTGTCTTGTGTCGCTGCTTCTCGCTGCTGCAGATCTAAGAGGATTGCACTCATCCAGATAAAGTGATAAGCGCTGTTGTGAAAGTCACTCCATAAAGGTGCTCATGTGACACATCCCCTCAAAGAACGCCTTATCAACAGCTCCATCCAACGCTGATGCCTGCTTTAGCTCCACAAAATCACATTCATTTTTAATTAGGCAGCCAAATTAATAGGCGGCAGTTTAGGAGTTTAATTACTCAATTAACTTCACGCACGTTAATTTTTAACTATCTAAATTAGGTTGCACATTATTCGATTTGATGATAATTATAGAATTAAATCTAAATTAATTGTTTTGGATGATTTGGAGATGCAGTTCCAATTAAAGTGTACAGTGCGAAAGAGAGGGGACTGGTTGCCATTTTAAGCTTGTAAATCCTTTGATTCGATTTTAAGCAAGAAAACTCCAGAAAAAAAAAGAGCGTGCTATAGCCCCCCATCCCTGCCCCTGCCGCGCGCTCTAATCCCACAATTAAAAGTTTCCTCCCATCTAATTATCTGTAATTGTGCCGCTGTCAGAGTAGAATGGAGAAGTGAAAGGAGCGATTGATTTGGACTTTTAATTCAGTTCATTTCTGATAGAAGAGAAAGTAATTCCCTTCAAATTACCTCATTCAATCCTGACACCCTAATGCCCTTCAAAATCTCTCTTCCCTCGCCCCTCTCTCCACTGCCGAGCATTTCACCACATGCGAAATGAGACTAGTGCCTCCTAATAATAATAACCAAACTTCCATTAGAATAATAATTTCATTTCAATTAAAACTGACTTATCACCTTTGCTAAAACGTGCTTAATATGCCGAAAATTATCAATGCTTGAAGGAGTCCAAACTGGGGAGTCTAATTGTAATCAGCAAATCAGAGGTGCTTGTCGTCGGTGT